GTAGGGCCCTGAAGCCAAGGACGGCAATCCCATGAGCAGTGTCAGCCGCTCCGCTCTGTCTATCACTGATCCAGTACAAAGGACCACTTTCCTGTGGCCTTTCTAGCCATGGCCTGTAAATAGGTGCTTTTGGTCCACCAAGGGTATTAGGCAGTTTGCTAATAAGGCAAGCAACATGCATAGCAACCTGGAGGGGCGGGACCACACAAATAAGGTGCATGGAAACCCAATGAGGGGATTGTCAGTGTTGCCCTTCTGCTGGGCTTAGGAGAGTCCATTTCAGAGCATAGAAGGGCCTGATCACAATGAAGGTGATGTTGCAGGAGCAGAGTGTGTCCTTTGGAGCCAAGCTCCATGTGCTGGGAACCTCTTAGACCCCAGAGCCAGAAAGCTCTAACACAGGAGACAGTGAAAGATGGCCAGAAACGTAGCCGGGGAACAGCTGAAGAGAGAGAACCAGGATACCTGCAGAGACACTGCAGTTGGTTCCCTGGTCTACCAAGAGCAAGAAATCCAAACTCACGGAGTCGGCGCCCCTACAGGACAGGGCAGGAGTGTCCCTGTGGATTTCTGAGACTGTCACTCTACAAGAGTAGAAGGCCCGTCTCCCATGGAGCAGCTGTGGTTCTGAACTGCTGGCTGACCTTGCGGTTAGCAGTCCAGCATGTAACCACTGTGCCACCGGGTTCCTCTTGGCCAACAGAACGAGAGAATGGTGCGCTTTCAGGCAGGAGCCTTATTGGTGGATCGAGGTGCCTGTGGGCACTTACCGAGGGAGTTAATAACTTTTTGAACACTTTTCTGAGTAGAGCAGGGCCCAAGTCAGGCTGGCCCAAGAGGGGCTGGCTTGAGCAACTGAGGGGTCTAGGGCTAGAAACTGGTCTGCCTGTGGGCAGATCTGCGAAGAGGCTGTACCCACCCAAGACCTGTATCCCGAGTCTTTCCTGAGCCTGAATTGCAACCTGTTACTTCCCTAGTTGAGTTAGTTAATTGTGCCAGCCTGGCCGATAATCACATGTGGTGCTGGTTGAAAGGCGGAGGGATAAATGGGTGGTGAAGCCTC